ATGTTCTTTAATAGCTTTCAACTTTTTATTTATCTAACAATAATCAATATTGAAGCAAGATTGAAGATTTAGATTCAAATAAATATAAATACTGATTTTCTTAACAAATTAAAATAATAAAATACTTTTTTTTAGCCTTTGCAAATATTTTAAATTAATTACTGGATTTTCCATAATTTATTTGGTAATTTTATTCAACCTTAAAGCTTGTATTTTTTGAAGGTATTAAGAAATAAAGCATGCTTTACTTGTATTTAAGAAAAACTTATATAAACATTAAATAAATTAAAAAAAACTGTTTATAATTCATTAAAGCAATTGAAAATGATTTTAAATTATTTTTTGAAATGTTTTATGTATCATTTTTTATAATATTCTTTTTCTTTAAAATTGTTTATTATTTAAATAGTTCACTGTACTTTTAGACTGAACAATGGCATATGGCTTGGACCACCGACCGCAGGCTGAACCAATTTTCATAGAGATTGCAATTTAGCCCCCAACCTTAACCCATCCCCTTCCTCTCCTCCCTCTCCCCTCTCCTCCTCCTCTGCTGCTCCTGGCTTACTCCATTGCCAGCATTTTCTTTGCCTTTTGGCAGCTGCTGACGGAGTTGGGTTCGCAAACCTCAACCCATAATTAACTTGGCCAATGTGAACAGGCAACAGGCTATACTCGAGGCTAAAAGAGACTCCGGAGAGGAGAGAAAGGGGTAAGGCCGAGAGGATAGGGGAAAATAGAGGAAGGAAGAAAGGAGACACAAGACAACTAAGCAATTTTAGAGAATTTTCTATAAATAATTAAGTTGCACTTTGATTTTAAGAGTAAAGGTATATTGTAGTTATATAAAATAACTTATTTGTGCGGCTTCAAATTAATTAATTAATTCTCACACTTAAATTCCACCTCATTTAATAACTAAATTCATATAAAACCTCTTTTTGATTTATTTAAAAGTAAGACAATTTTTGTCAAGAAATAATTTTCTAAAACGCTTTTAACCACAACAAACATTCAATTAAAACTATCTGCAGTTTATTTCATAAATAAAGCAATTTGTAATTAATTGTAAGAGTAAATTAAGCTAAAAACTGAATCCTGTTAGAGAGTGTCAATCCTAATGCTTTACCTTTCGGCTTTTTCTGACAATGTGGTTTCTTAGCCTTAATGCAACTGGCCAAAAGTCATCGTCAAACGTGGCTTGTAACTGCCCAAGTATTTGTGTGTGTGTGTGTGTTGTATTATGGTGTGTGTTTGAGCCGCGTTTTCAGCTTCTTCTTCTTTGAGCTGTCTGTGCGTTGTCTCCTCTGAACTTGATGGACAGGCGCAGTCTTCTTTGGGCTTCTTCTTCTGTTGCCTCTTCGCGTTAACCCTCCACCGGCACACCTGTGTGCCCCCCACACACCCCGTAGATAAGGGTGCACTGAGGAAAATATATGTATATACATATATGGAAATAAAATAATAAACCTTATAACAATAAGGAATTTAATAGTATTTTATTAGCCCAGAATCGATATCGATATTTATTTCAATCAATAAAAATATATTTTTAAAATTACTGTGGAGATTAATTAGTTATATAATGAAATAATTATTTAATATCTTAAAATTGTATTGAAAATTTGTATACCTTTTTAAGGTCTTATAATTTCAGTTAGAAGCAAAAAACGCAGTGAAGGAGTCATTTCCGACCCTATAAATCTTAAATATTCTTGATCAGCATCACAAGCTGAATCGATCTAGCCATCTTCGACAGAAAAAAATATTTGAAAAATTTTTTTAAGTTTTCATCGTTAAAATTGTCAAAAAATTGACAAAAAAATTGAATTTTTTAAATTCTTAAATTCAATATGCAATTTGTTAACCCTTTAAAAACTAGCACAGGAAAGTGTTCCGAATTGGAATTAATGCATTATTTACTCCAAAATAATTACCATGTAAAATTTTTGTTTTTTATTCCTAAAATTCTTAATATACCAATAATTTTGTATTAATTATAAATAGTTGAAATTGAAATATTTAGATTCGCTTTGAAAATATTTTATTTGAAATTGAAGAAATAATATAAAAAACTTTGAAATCTTTCGGTTTTAATATAGTCCTGATCTTATGCTAAAATTTCTCTTAGTGTACCCTTAACTCTTAGTGGTTTTTTCTTCCTACCAATCTTCGGTTACAATGCGTGAGTTGCAACAGGCCAGGTCAAGAAAGAGGTAACAAAACAACAAAAAAAGGTACAAGAAAGAGGGAGGAGGAAGATTGTCCAGGAATAAGTGGCAGTCCTTCGGACCTACCCGTTCCACATGATCTCTTTTAAGGCTCACTCTTATTGTTCTTTAACCGTGGTCTCCTCATGCATTAATTTAAGGTTGCTTCGTTTTTTCTACCTGTATTTTTGGGATACAAAAAAAGAAGCACGTTTGAAGGGAGTGAGGTTTGTTTTTATTAAGTTATTTACTCACTTTTTTATTTATTTTTCTTAGCTTTTTAATAATAAACAAAATACTTTACTGAATACAATACAAAATACGAAGAGTTTAAGATTTATATTCCTATGGTCCTTTTGTTATTTTTCATTCTCTTAAATATTTTTAAAATCATTATAAGTAATAGCTTATTTTTAGCTTCATTTGAATATATAAATACATAATATATTCCTCATAAATAAAAATTCCCCTAATTCATTTATATTGTCGCCTTGGAAATCATAATTCCTTCCCAGACAAGGTCTCTGATAGTTTGGAGCCAAGGCACCATCACATCCTGTCTGAAGAGTCTTCAGCCCACGCGTTGTGCATAATAAATTCACAAGTTTACAAAACACGAAGGCCCAAGGAATGGTAAATAATTTTAAAAACAGATTTTCTACTCATTCTGCTGCTGGTTTCTCTTCAATGTTTATTGAATATTTGATTTTGGAGCCTCGCGGCGTTTGGCGACACAGAAGCCAATGATAAAGATGATTATGTTGATGTCTTTAGACCCTATAGGATATACTCTTCCCTTCACTATCCTTCCCTCTTTCCTTAATAATAAGTCTACTACGGACATGTCCCGAAGTACCGCTACTAAAGACGCATACAAATGACCTTTGGGTAGTTATATTTCCCTCAGGTGAAAAGCCGACTAGACAAGCGTCTCGTGAAGTTTTTTTAGTAATTTTCCTGGACTGAAAATACACGGAAAATCCGGCTTAATTATGTTTATCCTGTGTATATTGCCTGCTCCTTGAGTCCTTGAGTCTGTATAATTATTGTCTTAAATTTGGAGTGTTTTGTGCATATTAATGGAAAAGGAAGAATAGGTTAGGAAATGGAAATGTCCTTGGGAAATTATTTATTATTAAAAGGAAGAGTTACTGTTACAGGGTATTTTTTTTAGCCTCACTTAAACAAAAATTTTCAGTTTTTAAAGCTTTAATTAAATCATTTCCCATTAGTTTTCCTAAATATATTTTTAAACACAGTTTTTTGAGGATTTATCTATAAATTCCTCATTCAAATCCCAAGTTGAATGTCCTCTTTTAATCCTCTTGGCTTAAGCCTTCTTCTCTTAATTTCTTGGTAATTTGAATATTGGCTATATGGAATTACTACTTCGAAATCGATCCGATTTTAGTTTTTGATCTCTTGATCCTCTGATTGAACATCAAATAAACCAAAAATAAACACAAAAGAAACCCAGAATGAAAACAAAAACATCAGAAGCCGATAAAGATTAAGAAGAAGGAGTGGAAGCTGAAAGTAAACAGGAATTTGAAACCAAAGAATCAGAATAAGAAGAATCTGAAAAAGTGAAGAAACCAAAACAAGGGCGGAAGGCTGTTTTTTTGGGATTACTTGAATAACAAAAAAAAGGGTATACAATTAAGAAGATTTTAATAAGAAATTAGAAAATAAAAGAAAGTAAGTTGAAATTTATCGAAAAGAATTTCAAAATAAAAAAAAAATAGGAGGGCTAACTTAATCTACAGAGAGTTTCATTTCTACAAGAAAATATAAAAACCTTGGCAAACTTATCTTAGAATTTAAATTTGAAGCGTGGGTGTGGTCACAAAGACAAAAATAAATTACAAAAAAGGTTTAACAAAAAAAGCAAACACAAGAAAAGGTTTAAAGCAGAAAAGTTTCATAGCCACGAGCTTTTCGCATCAAAAAGAACATGTTTCCAAGCAAACAGGTTTGTTGCTGAAGAGGGGGGGAAAAGAGGAGTAAAAATAAGAAAGAGCCAGCAAAAGAAGGTGCAGAAGAAGGAGTGTAGAAGAAACGGCAGCTTAAGCAAACAGGCGACAAAAACCGCAAGAAGAATCAGAGAGCGCAAGAATTGGAGACTTGAACTTAAAGAGTTTGAAAACCTGAAATTCTCCCCCTCTCCCACTCCATTTCCACCTCACCTTCTCCCTTCCCCACCCTCTCTCTCTCTCTCATAAAAAAACTGGTTAAAAGTAGATCGTTAACAGCAAAACTTAAAGAAGGGGCAAGAGCGGGACAGCAAAACTTAACGAAGTTTCTTCAACTTCAAACTTGTTGCATGTCAACTACAGCTCTGTCTCTATCGCACTCTCTCTCAAGCATTGCACTGCTTGATCGGCCAAAAGCTGTTGTTGACTTGTTGCTGGACTTATTTGTTTGTATTTTTTGTCTTGCTTGCTTGCTGTCGCCGCTGACTGGTTTTTCTTGTTGGCCGCAAAGACACAGAAAACAAGTTTCAAGCCAAAGTCGCTGGCAAAACGCCAGCGATGTTCGAAAACCGCCCGCAAATCGCGCGAAAAACGCAACATGTTGCTGATTGCCGCTCACCACTCCGAGCGCTCTCTTTCGAAATGCCGCTCTCTTGAGCTCTGTTAACGCTATGCTATTACTCTGTTCACTACTCTTACTCTCTCGTGGAGTTTACATTCGAGTTTCGAACTACGAATTTCGAACTCATCTCGTACTCATTTTCGGGGTATCGTTCCTCGCCATTCGTTTTCGCCCCTCATTCGTTTTTCGAATCAACGCAACGCAACAACGCCTCCGTGAAGAAAAGTGTTCGCTTGATTTTTCCGCCGGGTTTTTCGCAGGTTTTTCGTGTGTGTGAGCGAGCAATAATAACAACAAAAGTCGCATTGTTTGCCAACAACAACGACCAGTGCAAATACTAAGCTTAAGGTATGCATTAAAAGGAGTTTAAAGAGTGTGCAAACAGTGTGTGTGTGTCTGTGGTGTCTGCAAAACTGGATATTAAACATAAAACCAACAGTCAGAAAAGTCCAAGAAATTAACAAAAATTAAAGCAAGTAAAGTGCAAGAAAAAACAGAATAAATACAAGAAGAATAACCATGAAAATATCTTGTGGTAAAATTCACTAAAACAAATAACAGTTAAAACTCTGTGAAGTAGAAGAAGAGGAAGAAGCAGTAGGTGCAAGGGAGAGGCAAAGCAGTGGCAGCATCTCCGCCAGCAGCAACAGCGGCAGCGACCGAGGCAGCTGCGTCACCGCTTCATTAGTTCCCTCTCCCTCGCTCCCCGTTTATCATCAATCCTCGATCGCAGCGTCTCTGGCGATCTCCCCCCTCCCTCACCAACGAACACACCTTTACCTGAGAAACAGGTTTGCCTGTGTGCGTGTGTGTGTGTGTGTGTGTGTGCTTGTGTTGCGGCGCGGTGGTTTGTGTTTCTTGGAAGCCTTTCAAGCGCTTTTCTTACCTGTTACAACCAAAAAAGAAAAACAACAACAACAAAACGAAATGAAGAAAAATAAAAGAAACATGTTGCAACTCTAAGCAACAACAAAAATAACAAGAGAGAGAACGATGTGTGAGTGCATGTGTGAATGTGTGTAAGGGAGAGATGCAATTATAACTGTGAAACAGGAGAGATCAATGAGAAACAGAGATCAAGAAAGAGTCGAAAACAAGGAATTTGTGAAGAAACAAAAAAGAGGAATAAGTGAACGATAAAGTAAAAGATGGAACAAAATAACGAAAATAATATTTAAAGCTTTAATAAAATGATAAACATGCTAACTAAACTTAAACAAGAAAATAAAAAGGCTACACTTGAAGAAATATGTGTGTAAACAGTGCTAGTAAAATATAAAAATGCAAGAAAGCTTAAAAAACTGTGAATAAGATAAGAAACAAACCAAGAAAGCCAAGAAAACAATACATAAAAGGCATAAATATATTTCAATTTAAAACACAATTTAAAATAATAAATAAATTCCCCAACCGATTAAATAATCTCAATACCTCTTCCCCCTTTTCAGTTATTCTCCTTCATTTTGTTCGGATATGCTCGTAATATAAAAAAAAACCAACTTTAAATCAAATATCGTGTGCTTAAAATAATAATAATAATTGATGTGGTGTTAAAATCAAAAACAATTCAACGCAATGGAGCGTTGCAACAGCAACAGCAGCAACAACAACAATAGCAGCAGCAGCAGCAGCGAACGCAGCTAGAAAAGGAGACGCGAAGGAGAGCCGCTGCAGCCGTCATTTACCGTTATCGAAGCCGAAGTTCAAGGAGGGCGGAACTGGAGTAAAATAGCAAAAGTTCTCTTCGTTTCGTTCTTTTTTTTGTTGCTCAAGACAAAACGTCAACTGCAGTTTTAGCAAGAAAACGGGAAGCGGCGATAATAACCAAACTTTAGCTACAACAACTAAAGAAAACAAAAAAACATAGAATAGCTAACTAAAAGCTAGCAGAAGCCACAATAACAACAACAACGACAACGCCAGCAAAAGTGACAAAATGAGGCGAAAAACGGACAGCAGAAGGAGTAGTGCGAGGAGATCAGCAACAGCGCTAAACATTTGGCACTTTTTTCTTATCGGTAAGTGTTTTCCTTTACTTTGTTTTGTTTTTTGGGTTTCTCTTTAAATGCAGATAAAGAAAGGTCTCGAATAAATGTAAACAATATGATCAGAAATTTTGAGGAATATAATGAGTTGTAAAATGTATAAAGTAAATTGAAAATATTTTTATACCCTTTCAAGGTAATATAATTTGAGTTAAAAGCCATAAATCATATATATTCTTGATCAGCATTAACAGGCGAATCAATCTAGCCATCTTAAGAAGAAAAATAAATTTGAAAAATTTTCCAAGTTTTTAAGGTGTTAAATTTGATCAAAGAATTAATCAAAAATTTTAATTTTTTAAAATTTTCAATTTAGTACGCAGATTTATTAAACTAAGAAAAAGTATTATAGAACAGTTGTCCGAATTAAAATCAAGCCTTTTTTGGCTTAGTTATGAGAGTTTTTTATACTTTATTTGCCTCTGATTAAATAGATTAATCTACTACCTTAAAACACCTTAATTTCCACCTTTACTTTCCTTGACATTTTCTAGTCCTCTTAATTTTCTAGTTTGCATTTTCGGCACACGCATAGCTAGCTTTGGTGACTACACAAATCAATTAAAAGATTCAGTTCCTTTCCCTGCTTATGACAGGGGGAAGTCTTATATATTTTTTTTCTGAATTTCCCACCCAATTTTCCCCTCGTAGAACGATGATCATGGGATGCTTTTGGCCCTGTCGCTTTGGCTGTTGTCACCTTGCAACGTCACTTTAGTTTTTTGTTGAACTTTCTTCCTGTTGTTGGGCTGCCTTGACGTCAGCATAAAGTTTTTTATCTTGCTGCTCAAGCCTCTACCTTCCCCCTTTTTTCCACCTTTTTACCAAGCCTTGATTTCCCAGCACTCATCCCCCCTTCGTCTTTGTTTCTCTCCCACGCTCACTTTGGCTCCTGTCAATTGGCAGCATTTACTGTTCTCGATATTAAAACCAAACTTGAGTTACAGTCGCTATTCTGTATAAGGGATTTATATTATATAGGGATATTTATATTATAGGGAAAAATATGTACATTCTATTGAAAGAAATCTTATTAAATAATATATGAAAATGTGCTTTAAGGGTACAAAAACAACACAAACAAAGTCCAGAAGAAACAAGATGTATTAAAATAAATAAATCATTTTAAGAACTTTAAAATTCCATTTAATATAAATATTACGACAGTATCTATGTTATGTTCTGACTGATTTTGTGTCAGGCTCCTTTTTTCAATGTCCTTGCCCATCCCTGTCTAAAGGCTTCTTTAATATTCCTAAAAATATACATATTTTCGGTGCATTTCATGGAATACCTACTGTATCTTCCAGAAGCAAAGTGGAACAAATATCAAGAGTAGGTGGAAAAGCTGATGGCAACCGGGTAGCATAAGGCTATAAGGAAAACTTTAGTTTGGCACGCTTCACCAAACTTTGTTCTCTTTTCACTCATATACAACTTTGCTTACAAAATGCTTTTTTAATACTTAAAGAACCCACGGAAAGCGCGTAGCGATGAAATATCAAAAGGCCTGGGCTTAAATTTAAATGTGAATTATATCCAGTCAGTCGGGAAAATCGGTCAAACTTAACAAACTCCCAAAAAGAGGGGAACAAGCAATTTCTTTATATTAATTTGTCTGTGATTAGTCGTCATCGTTCCCCCTTTTTCCGTTCTCAAGATATATTGCACCATTAACTTTATGGCGCTTCCCCACTTTGTGTGTTTTCTGTGTGTGTGAGTAATCATTTAATAAATAAAACGTGTTGATTTGACATCTTAATTGGGCCTTTGACACGCGTTTCTTTATTTTGGCTGTAATTCTCTGGAACAACTACTTTTGCCAGTCGTAAAAAGTTCATTTCTTGGCTTAAATGTCAACGCTTCTTCTTTGGTGGAATCAAAAGTCGTCAGTTTTAGAAATCAATGAACTCTCTGAGGTGGTTTTATTTTCGGTTTTCTTGGCCCAAAGCTATAGCTTCTTGGGAATTGCTCAACTCGGGGGCATTATTAGATTTGATGACAGCCACCGAGGGGCAACCCGGGGAGAGCATTGGCATTAAAAACACATTAAAAGATTAGCAAGGAATAGAAAAAGTGCGCGTGGCTTAAGGCGAATAATTAAAAGAAAAAAGTGTGAAATGAAAAGGAATATCAATTTCAAGGCTACATTTTCTGTATCCTTGAGATTCGAGAATATATAATACTTTAAAACCTTGAATATATCTTTATCGTATCAGTTTACCCCAAAATTTACCACCACATTTCCTTAAGTTTATTTTACGCAGAGCACTTGTAATGTCCTTCTGCAGACGCCCTTCTCCTTTGATTCTCTCGGCATTATTCCCCGTTGATCCTTGAAGTGCCTTCCAATTTGGCTGAGTTTTCCTTGGAAAATCCTGTCTGTGTGTTAGTGTTTGTGTGTGTGTCTGCAGTGGAATGCTTAAGGAGCAGCGCAGGATATTGCTTGAGAAGTGCTTGAAATGTCGTTCTACCTGTCTCCTTTCCTCCATGTTTATAACAATTTCTCTGTGTGCGTTTCCTTTTCGGTTTTTTATGTTTATTTTCTTGCCTTTTTTTTTTTTTATTTTCGTTTTTGCAGCTTTGTTTTATTTATGCCTTCGTTCGTTGTTCGTCTGTCTACCTGCTCCGTTCTCTGTGTTGAGTTTTCCCTTTGAGTTTTTCCACATTCATTTCATTTCCTGCCGCCGGCGGCTCCTAAAACTTCTTCTTCTCTTTTTTTCCCCTAATTTTCCCACCCCTCCCTTAGTTTTGCTCAAAAACTATGTAGTATCTCCTTTTGCGACGCTTTACTGTTGGTGTTCTGTGTTTTTTTTTGAGCGCGTGAATTATGATTGTGGCTTAGTTTTTCCCACTTTTCCAGCGTTGTTATTATCCCTATTGTTTTTGTTATATTTTAAGTGCACTCGAAGAAAGTAATTAAGATTTCTTAATTAAGAGGTCATTTTAAATTCGATTTAAAGACAAGAAAGGGTACTGAAGGGAAGACCAAGTTTATATATTTTGAAGTTTGCCATCTAGTTATAGGAAAAAATGAAGTTAAAGGAATATCCATATTTTTAAGACAATTTTTTTTTAAATCCAAGTTTTAATAAAGCATAACTAGCCAAAAAACATTAATTTTGATTCGGAAAGCTGTTAATGTTAGCTTTTATTAGGTTAATAAATCTTTATACTCAATTTAAAATTAAAAAAAAATTACATTTTTATTAATTTTTTTTTTTTTGCAATTTTTAACGATATAACCCCTTAAAAATTTTTGAAAAATTTCAAATATTTTGTTCTGTTCCTGAGGTAGCCAGATCGATTTGGCTGTTGATCCTGATCAAGAATATATATGATTTATAGGGTCGGAAAATTATAATACCTTTGAAACAGTATACAAAATACAATGGAAAGCAGGGGTTTATCTTACAAATACATACCAAAATAATTTAATAATTAAATTCAACTTTGAATTTAATTAAATTTATCTAATAATTAATGATTTTCTCTGTGTACCGACTGGCATATCCTTTTTCCAAACACACACACAGCCTGTGGAAAATTCACCTTTTCCATCTTTATTTTTTTTTGCTACCAAAAAATATCTGCAACTGCTGCAACTTTGAAATTAAAATAAATTAAACAAATATTTGTTTGTTTCAAACATTTTTTACGTGCTAAATTCAGCGACGTGTGCGGAAATGTGTGTATCTGTGTGTGTGTTGCCCCAAAAAAAACAAAAAAACAACAACAAGGAGAGATAGGGGCTAGGTAGTAGCAACAGCTGCAGCCGGAGTGGAAATGAGAAACGCTTTTCCAGCAGCAGTAGCACTGGGAAATTTATATATATGTATTCAGAATTTGCATTTGCAAAATCAAAGTTGGATTGCATGGAAAAGTGGCAAAGGGAACGAGACAGGAAAAAGGAGGAAAAGCTACCGCCAGAGGCAGTTGCAAAAAGGGGATTTCGGATTTGTATTCTTGGGTCTCTTTTTGGATACAATAAATTGGTTTAGTTAGCTGGAATTTCAGTGTCTGTTGTGGAAATATTGATAAGCAAATGGGAAAGTTGAAAGATAAATAAACAAGAGGATAAAAAAAAGAAAAGGGGACACCAGAACGAGAACTAAAAGTTGGCCAAAATGTTTCAAGAATTTCACAGGAATTATATTGAGGCCAATAACTGTGACAATGTTTTGGGTAAAAAGGAATCCATGTTTTGGGGAAACCAATAAAATGTTATTGAAATGTAAAATGAAAATGAAAATATGGCAAAAGATTTCTGTCTGAAAATGTGTTTTGTATCTTTAAGGGAAATTAATTTCAAACTAAAATGAACAGAAAAGTAATGATTCTGAAATTAAAGAGTAAATATAATAATGGCTTTTAGAAGTGATCTTACAGAGTTGTTATAGAATCTTTTATTAACTCTATGAAAGCAAAAGATACAAGTTTTTAAGGATTATGGCTGAAATTTTGTTTACTTTTAAAAGAATTCATCATTCAATATCTTCTTTGATATTTATTAAAATAGTTGTATAAATCCCTAGTTTCAGTTGCATTTTTGACTTGGTTACCTCTATTCTAACCCCCTTTTAATCCACCTTATCTTTTTCCCCTCTCAAAAAACACATCCTTTAAAGTTATATTTCACATTTTGATGTTTAGTCTGATGCTTTGGCAGTTTGAATTTATAACTTGGCATGCATTGAATTTATATCTCCCTCTGTACTATATTCTCTCTTTTTTGAGGTGGGTGTTGGATGGTTTTTTGAAAAAAAAAAACTCGCAGCTGTTTAAACAAACCAACCATTCAGTGAGTGAGTGAGTGAGTGAGAATTCCTCAACATTTAAATGATATACACACAGATACAATAAAATAAAACTCATACACTTCGGACACAATAAAAATTCAATAACATTTGCTGACTGATGACGAAGTTGTAGTTGCTTTTATTTTAACCCCTGAACGACCTCGTCATTGGTTT